GGCTTCTATTAGGGGTAGGTTGAGCTGAAGTAAGAACTTTGAAAGGGACTTTCTCGATGCCAGTTTCACAAAATTGCTTGCTTGTTTAGGTTTCGCAGAGATCCGAATACTAAAGCGTGAGCCTTAGTGATTGAGGAGAGACCCCTAATACACATATTTGGGAAGCTCGGGCTGTCTCACGAGTTTAGTTGGATGGATCCCAGCTAATTTCAATTTCTTGACCCTGAGCAATAGGAACCCAAGCTGCACGCCCTGAACCCACAGTCCTGCCAGAGCCAGCGCGCGCTTGCCCATTGTCCTGCAACGGAGGGGCGCACGCACACACGTGTCTGCACAGATAAATCAAGCAGCTGCACATCTCTACTCTTGGTATGGTAGCATAAAACTTTGTTTTTGCAGACCCCCAGTAAAAATGAACAGAACCAAAAAACTAAAAAACCAACAAACATGCCAAGAACAGTGAAGTGCAGGCTCACAATGCGTTTGGATTTTGCTTTCTGCTCAAATACATGCCCATATCAACGGTGCTCCCTCCATAAGAGACATGGCATTGCTATTTTTTTCCACTCCATTTCTCCATCTAAAAATAGTCTACAGCAAAAGCTGTGGGGTCAAAGTCCAGGTCAGAGTCAGCGCATTCCGTTGGAGTGTAGTCTTGGTTGGAGTCGGAGCTCACTGATGAGTTGTCTGAGGACCGCGGGGAGTGCACCGCTGCTGCTGCTGCTTCCCCGATGCTGCTGCTGCTGCTGCTGATGCTGTGCACAGTATCTGGCTCACCTGCGCCGGTCTGCTGCCCCGGCTTTGCTAAAGCCGCTTTGCGCACATGCTCCGCCTGCACCCCCAGCGCTGTGCCCGGACACCCCGCTGCTTTTGCGCCGGTCTGCTGCCCCGACGTTGCAAGCACCTGCTCCGCCTGCACCCCCAGCGATGCGCCCTGCTCCGCCTGCACCCACAGCACTGTGCCCGTCTGCGGCGTAGGACACCCCGCTGCTTTTGCGCCGGTCTGATGCCCCGGATTTGCTTTCAAAGCCGATTGAAGCACCTGCCCCCGGGCCGCCTGCACCCCCATCGATGCACCCTCCGCCTGCACCCCCAGCGATGCGCCCATCATATAAGGACACTGATGCCCCGGATTTGCTTTCAAAGCCGCTTGGAGCACCTGCCCCCGGGCCACCTGCACCCCCATCGATGCGCCCTCCGCCTGCACCCCCAGAGCTGCGCCAGGACACCCCGCTGCTTTTGCGCCGGTCTGCTGCCCCGGCGTTGCAGGCTTTGCTTTCAAAGCCGCTTGGAGCACATGCCGGGCCGCCTGCACCCCCATCGCTGCGCCCTCCGCCTGCACCCCCAGCGATGCGCCACACCCCGCTGCTTTTGCGCCGGTCTGCTGCCCAGGCGTTGCAGGCTTTGCTTTTAAAGCCGCTTTGAGCACCTGCTCCGGGACCGCCTGCACCTCCATCGCTGCGCCCTGCTCCGCCTGCACCCCCAGCGCTGTGCCAGCTGTGCCCGCCTTTGCCCTACTCGCAGCTGCCGCCTTCGACATGAACCCGGGGCCCGCTTTCGCCTGCGCCGGACGCGGCATTGCCTTCGGCTGGATGTGCTGCTGCCTCGGCATGATCTTGGGCTGAGGCTTCTTGTTGGCGTCCTTGGCTTGCGAATCCACAAAACTCACAAAAACTGTGTTCACAGAATCAAACGTGTTCGCAGAATCCACAAAACTCACAAAAACTGTGTTCACAGAATCCAACGTGTTCACAGAATCCACAAAACTCACTAAAACAGTAAGGCTTCTCTCACCATCCATGCCGGAGGAGGATACGCCGGCGGCGTCGGCACGCGCCGACGCGGCCCATGGGCGGGCTCCATGCTTGAAGCTTTGAGCCGTGGGCAACAAACGTTCGACTCATCGCTCCACTCCAAGAAACCTCTATTGCCAACCAACTTCCCCGCGCAATCATCACTCAGTCAGTCCTCCACAAATCTCCAGGGCAAAGGGCAGCGGGCCATCAGTGCGAGCGTGGGCTATCTAGGCATTGATTGGGTTCCTTGATTCTTCAAGATGCCGTTTCTGATATGGTCGTGGTCTGTGCTGCTTCAACAGTCGTTGTAGTTGTGGATGTAGTTGTAGCCGCAGCTGTAGTTGTAGTTTGTTGGTTTTTCCCCTGCTGGGTGCCGTTGAGTTAGCGGTAGGGCTTTGTGATGTTGCTGCTGCTGTTGTTGTCGATGATATCTCCCCTGAACCAATTGGAAACCCTTCGTGGCACGCGTGGCCACATCGCCCCTGCTGCAGGCCATCCTGTGGCCATCCGTGCACGCGAGAAATCGGTGAAAATATGGCGCTGCTGTGGGAAACAACCAGGTTCTGTTAAATGGGGGTTCTTCTGATTGGCGCCCTTGGGAAACAAAAACATCATACCTTGATCATGTCGGATAGCAGATTTCCCTCGTGAATCTGTAGGGCGCATCCAAGGGTTTAATGACCGCCCTGCCTTCCCCAGCAGAGAATGCTAAACAGGAAGTGGATTCTGACCCCTTGCCATGTCCCCCCAAAAAAGGAGGTAGAAGGTTTGCTCTGTTTGTGTTGTTCAAAGGGGAAATCCATTGAAGCGCGCATCGCCTCTTTCTTTCTGAGCCCTGGGGACTTCTCAAAAGGGGAACGAATTGCGGTTGGATAGGTGTTGAAAGGGGGAAGCCAACATGAACTGGAGGGCTGTTGGATCAAAGAAAACAGCAACAGTTCGATGACATGTTCTCACTGCACGTTAGTTTCACTCCAATTGAAGAACTCATTCCGTGTGTCCTACTCGCCCTGCAAGTTTAGCTTCAAAGTCAGTCCCCTTCCCTTGCGTGGCCCCAACTGGCTTTTACAACCCCTAGCATATCTTAAAATGACAAAACTGGCCCGGTTCCAATCATGGTTAACCGGTTGAATGAAATCGTGACGGTGGTCGCACTACAACGATACAAAGGAATTGAACTGCTGCAATAATTTCAGTGATATTGAAAGTTGATACCCCCTGCCTTATTTCAGCGCCCAAATTAATTTCCACGAATTGAAAGAGAGTACGAACGTTTTCTCTTGGGGGTGGGGGTCAGTCAAAAAGCCACACGCAACTTCACATGTTGGTTGGCCATGAAAATATCATCTGGGAGTTGGGAAGTCGTCATGACAGTGTCAATTGGTTATACGAAGCTTCGTGTGATTTGTTTGATGACTACCAGCCTTGTTGCTGCATTCTGCAGCAGTGATAAGTTTCTGAGCCGAGGGGAAACAAATTCCAGGCGCCCGACAATCAAAGGGTGCTTCAGTCAGCAAATCTGGACATGCTTTTAATTGTGGTGCGGTGTACAGGCAATGCGCCCCTAAGTTTAAATTATTCTATGGGGGAGATTTGGGGACACAACATATTCAGTTTTAAGTTGGGCGTTGTTCAAACAACATGGATCCATGACAGCTACCTCCAAAGAATTAGATCGTTGCCAAATAATAATGCCTCTAAGAACATAGTTCACCTACTGCCAACGGGGTCCATTAAACACTCAAGGTCACCTGGAGTATGTTTTGCTTATTCTTTCGGGGGGCGCCCTTACCCTGACCCTCGCTCGCCTTCATATAAGAGAGTCGATCAGATTCCATTTTCATCGACGTCATTTTGTTGGGTCGCCGGCATTCCGTTCCAGAAAAAAGGGCCATGGTGTTGACAGAAAACAATAACGCTGAATTCAGGCGATGGCACTCCGAGCGAAAAAGTGCAGAAAAAGACAGGGCACAGGCTCAGCAGGAAGGTGCACCAGGGTGGACTCGAACCACCATCTTTGCCGCCAGTCACGATGGACAGTCCCCAGCGCATCCACAGTGCGATGCTCTTCGCACAGTGGATGCGCTGAGGGCTGTCGATCGGCCGAGGCAACGCCTTGCCCATAAGGCAACTGGTGCAGTCGCAACTTTCCGAGCACCGCAAAGTTAGGGTATGAAAGTTGAGCTTACGCAGCCGCTGGGCATGTTGACAGCAGTGTTAGCGCAGCACCACACCCAAAACACAAGACCATGGCAACTCCACTCGCCGCAACCGTGTGTCGCTGTTTTGACGTTTATTGGAAGTGGAGCAACGCTGAAACTGCAATAATATAGGAAAAACCAAAGAAACAGCTGGCGCCTGCGCACACACAGCTCACGCGGCGGTTTTTGAGCAGACACCCACGAAGCACAGCGAACACGCGCCCTCTGCCCCGACAGAAATGCAACCAGTCGCATTATTCAGGCGCCGATTTTGGCACATGCAACCAGCCCGACCAAAATGCAGCCAGTCGCATAAAATGCAACTTAGGGTTCTCCAGGCACACCCACGCACGCACGCACGCACGCACGCACGCACGCACGCACGCACGCACGCACGCACGCACGCACGCACGCACGCACGCACGCACGCACGCACGCACGCACGCACGCACGCACGCACGCACGCACGCACGCACGCACGCACGCACGCACGCACGCACGCACGCACGCGCGCACACAGGCACACACACACACACACCCACACACACACACGCACACACGCGCACACGCGCACAAACACACGCACGCACACACGCACACCCGCAAGCACACAGACACACACACACACACCCACCCACCCACCCACCCACCCACCCACCCACCCACCCACCCACCCACCCACCCACCCACCCACACACCCACACACCCACACACCCACACACACACACGCACACACGCGCACACACACACACACGCACACACGCGCACACACACACACACCCACACACGCACACACGCACACACGGACACGCGCACGCACACACGCGCACACACGCACACACACACACACACACACGCAGACACACACGCACACACGCACACACGCACACACGCACAAACGCACACACGCACGCACACACGCACAGACAGACACACACGCACAGACAGACACACACGCACACACAATTTGCTTGTTCCGGCGCAACAAGAACGGCCAAGAGGCAGTATTGAGATCCAACCAATTTTGGTTCGTCCGATCTTGGATGTCCTGCTCGATGACGGTCCGCTTCTCGTGATAGAACATAAACCTCAGCCCAGTAAAACTCACAGCAAATGGTCTGACTCAGTCCTACTTAGATGGGCCGGTGGCTTACTAACAGGTTAAGTTGATTATGATGTTTAGGCTGTAAATTATAAAGGGTTATAACTAGTTATGCTAAAAGTTATAACTAGTTATAACCCCCAAAAAATGTACGATTTGCAAGTGTTTTTTAAACATGTTTTCATGATTTTTTGATGTGAAAAACAGGCCAGAGGACATGCATAAGAGCCAACACTGGCTTGTATAGTTGCCAGCCACCAAGGCTTTGTTCAGCAGCCTCAAGGCTTCAATTTGCAAATCTTGCGCAAATCAATCTGCACCTGCCACTCCAAGTAGCCATCAGGCTTGGCTGGTGCATGCCCATGCCATGGCATCAAGCAACCAACAGCTGACAAGGGCTCCAGTGCATTTTCACCTGTAAGGCAGTGGTACCAGGGTGGTCATGCCATCTCTGCCTTGGGCATGGGTGACAGCCACCAAAACATCTTGCAAAGGCACTGCTAGCAGTGAAGAGCCATTTGGCTTCCACAAAGCATGGGCCATAGAAGGCCCTGCACTTTCAAATTCAAAGGGTCGCAGGACAGCACATGCCTGCACACCACAAGCTACAAAGCACTCCAACTGCCCACACATCCACTTTGCTTTGGAACTGTGGCTTTGGTACAAAACAACATCGCCAGCACTACAACTTCCAAACTTCAGCCTGGCAGCTTTGCTCGCTGCAAAGTCTTGGCTAAGCATGCCCAAGGGCCAGATCTGTTGGGCAATCCACAAGAGCTTGGCAGGCAAGGCAGTAGGCTTTTCCAGCACATAGCTGGGCAAAAAGACATTGGCCTTGCTCAGTTTGAGAAGCTCATGGCCAACAACGTCTTCCATCACAGCTTGCTCAAAGTAAGCAGTATTCTGCACAGGATTGCTGAATCTGGACAATGTTTTGTTCTTCCTTTCCATGCAGAAGCAGTTGACAATCATACCATGCTGCTTGAAGGCAGAGCTTAGGTGCAGCAGCCAATGGTGCTTTTTCATCATATTGTCTCTCCAGCCAGCTTGAATCCATAGTCTGAGAACTTCTTCAGCTGCATGCTGTATTTGCTGCCAGGAAATTGAAGTGCACCAGGTGGATTGCAGCAGCTCCACCAAGTATAGCAAGGAAGCTAGGCACTCAACTTGCTTTATGCATGCCTCCTTGCACACATTTTGGCAAAAATGCACCAGTATGGGGAGGACAGTAAGCAGCTCGGACGCAGTGGAATTGAACTTCATGGACCTCTTGTGCTTTTCCACCCTCTTGGCTTCAAACAAAGGTGCCACCTTGATGTTGCCAAAGCTGGCAGGGAGTGCCCAGCAAGAAGAATAGTTGCCAAATTCCTTCCAGCAGTCCATCTCTTCAAGGATGAAGAAGATACCCAGTGAAATTATGCCATTGGAACACAAACAGTGCATCCAGTCATGAACAAACTGCTTCACAGGGTCCACAACCGACCTGAGCTGAAGACAAGCCAGCATGGCTTCAGGGCTGAAAGATATGCCTGCTGCTTGCTGCCACAACTTCCACTGCTGCTGGTTACTGCAAGCTTGCCTTGCAGCCATCCTATCCCAAGAGCTAAAGATTTCTTGGCTTGTTGCTAGGTCCAGTCTGGAAGCTGAGACAAACTTTGAAACCTCACTGATTCCTTCCTCTTGGTCAGATGTGCTGAATACATTTTTGCACAAGCAGCAAAAGCGAGAACCACTGTCTCCTTTCACTGACCAAACATACTTGTGAGCAGCACCATCTTGGATGAAGAAGGACAAACAGCACCTGAATCTGCTGTGCTGCTTGGCAGAGCTTGGGGGCTCTTGGAGCAAGATGCCATGGCTCTCCACTTCAGCCCATGGGCTTCTGAAGATTGATAAGAGTAGTTGCTTGATGAGCTGGCTCATGTGGCCTGCAAGTTGCTGTACAACTGAAGACCTTACACAGCAGACAGTGACCCAAGCATCTTCAGATTGCAAGTGGTGGTTAAGCTGTTTGATGGAAATGTAAACACACCAGCATTTCCTGCTTGGGTGGTTTGCTAATGGGTTGCCAGGCACAATCTCATCAGTGTACACAAGCAAGCCCAAAGGCTCTGTAATATTGCAGAGCTGCTGATGCAAAGAGCCACCACTCTTGTAGCAGAAGTGCAAGAAGGACAAGAAGTTCAGGTAGCTGATCTTTACAGGGTTGCCTTGCAGGCAAGCAAATTCATCTTGCAGTATCACTTGTCCATAGGCGTTTGCTTGCCCAAGCAAGTTCCTTGTGGCCTCTCTCATATGCTTGGCACTTGACATGTCTGGAGCCCCTTGCTCCTTGACATGGTCCAAAATGGATGACAGAGCAGACTTGGACACAAAAGGGACTGAGTCCCTGAGGTGGTGCAGCTTTTGCAGCTTTTGGGCTCTGTCTGACATGGCCCCCTACAAAGCAAGGCACAAACTTCAGTGCTTTCTTACCATGGGATTTACACTGCTTTATAAGGGCCCTGAAAGGGGTGTGTGCAGCATGGATAGCTTGGGGCCTACAACTGTGGAGAAATTTAAAAGGTTGCCAAGGGCATGTGCTAGGATGCAGCTTGCTCTATAAACCAAATACAGCCATACTGTCCTTCTAAGCCAACATGCTCTGGCAACTCGGTGCAATGCATGCTACTTGCAGCAGCCAGTGCCATTCATCCAACAGAAAGGCTATTTGCTTGCATGAAAACCCTATAGTGGCATAAACAGCTACACAGCCACAAAGGCTTTGTTTACTCTCATGAAGGCAACTTACAGCCATGAAGGCTTCTCACAGCCACAAGCCTACTTACAGCCATGAAGGCTACTTACAGCATTACCTGCTTTGCAAGGATTAAGGGAAGGCATTTAATCCAGGCCCTACTGCTTTCTGCCACAAGGATGTAGGCTTCCAGCCACAAGGCTATATGGCCAGCCAAGGAAGGCTGCCAGCCACAAAGGCTAGCTGTGTGTAGCCATGCTACCTACAGCTACAAGTTTGGCTTGGCAATCAGTGCAATGCCTATGCTCTCCACAGCAAATTACACAGGGAAGGTGCATGTGTGCAAGCATGGTCTGGCAATGTGCTTTTTCCACACCTGGACGCCCCCATTGGCAGCAAAGCAAGAAGCCAGCTGAGCAGCTTCTTCTTCCCCAGCAACAAGCAACGGGCAACAGCAAGCCTTGCTCAGCAACAAATCTTTGTGACTGCTATGAGGCACAAACTTGCCATGAACAGTGGACTCAAAGCTTGCCATTCTCCCTGGCCCATTGAACCCAAGCTGCCCTTCCAGGCAATTTCAACCCACGAAATCTAGGCTTTCTACAAGTGTCACAGCCATTGCTGGAGCCTCTGCACCTGATACAGCCATAAACAACTTTCTTTGGCCAACCTGAAGAAGCTGATTGCTTCTTTGCACAAGTGGGTTTCGCTTTAGCCTTTTTGGCTGGCTGGCTCTTGGAAGCTGGCCTTTTTAAAAGTTTGCCACCCTTTTTGGATTCAAGCTTCTTGTATGCATCCAGTTCATAGTCTTCCAAGCTTTTGCCAGGGAGGCTGCCATCAGGTGAGCTTTTTTCTCCAAGCTTTGTAGCTTGGACAAGCAAAGGCTTCTCAGGGACAGAATCCTCCTTTGAGCTGCCTGGCTCTTGGTCACAAACTGCAGGTGGAGCCTTCTGGCTGTAGCTCTTTGGCTGACCATCACTTGGCTTCTGGATCTGGATGTGCACTGGGGCAGATGCATCCATTTCCCTGGCCTTGTGGAAAAGCATTGCCAAGCCATGCATGGCTTGCTCCATGAGGCTTCCAGGATTGGCATCGGTCTTGCCAACAGTGCTCTGAGGGCTTGACAAAGAGCCTGAACTTGGTGTCTTGGACCTCAGCCTTGTCAATTTGTTGCTCTGGACAAAGCTACTATTGCAGCTGTGGTCTGGAGATCAATCTGAATAGGCTGGTCATCCACACTGTAGACTGCAGATGTGAAATCCTCAGCTGTTTCAAACAAAGGCATTGTTTATCAAATGGCCTAGCTTGTGCTGGCATGAAAGGCAGCCAAGGCGCAGGGCCAACATCTGTGGGGCGCTGAGGGTAGGTGGCAAGCCCCGCAACCAATGCCTCTTGCCCACAAGCAAGAAAGGAGTCTTTCACATAGATTGCTAGCTGGTAGATTTCACCAGGAGGAGGTACTGGCTTAGACTTGGCAGTCTCCAAGTAGATCAGCATGGACACAATGCCCTTCTTGGTGTCCTCCTTGAGGGACTTGATTCCAGCCTTCCTCATCCTGGCCACAATCACCTGCACTGCCTCCATGGTGCTGACCTGCAACAGTTTTGCCCACTCACTGGTGCTCATGTAGTTCCATGGGGCAGTCATTGACTGCGGTGCACAATTGACCCTCAAAGGGCCAGCTGAAGATTCAGAGCAACTCTTCTCAACTTGGAGCACAAGCTTGCTCTTCAAGCCTTCTGGCAGCTGTGCAGCCTTGATGTTCTTGAACATGGCCAAGGCAAAGGCAGGGCCAGGCTGATGCAAGCTTTGAAGCTTCAAGCACAGCTGGTTGACTAACTCAAGCACCAAGCTTGACTCATTCCTGATTTGGTACAACTGCTCAATGTCACTCAGCTCCTTTGCAAAGTCTCCAATGCTCCAGTGACCCATGGGGCTGGCACTGAAGGAAGCTAGCACAAGCCAAGCCCACAACAAACTACAAATGCACTATGGGTGTCAGTTCAAGCCAAAAAGCCATGGGCTTCAATCATGGCCAGTGCAGTGCATGCTCTACAACAGCCACAAGGCTTCGTGCAACGCCCCAAGACTTGCAAGAGGTGATGAACATGCAGGGCAAGGGCATGCTGCATGGGCACCTGCATGCATGCACACCCTTGACAGCTTCATGGCTTGCTACAGTCAGCTATAGGCTGCAAAGCATGGCATGAGAGGTGTCAAAAGAATGGCACACTGAAAGCAAGCCAACA